GGACGTGGGTTGCTGCACCGTCCCTCCAACCCCTCCGTGGCCCCAGCCCGCAGAGGGCAGCAGGCAGCCGGAGCCGCCGGCCCCAGCCTGCATCCTGCTGCTGCTCAGCCATGGGGAATGTCGGGATTTTCCCAACATCCTTCGGGTGCTGGCTGTGCAAACTCCTGGGCCAGATCCAGCTGCTTGTCAAAGGCATCCAAAAGGTGCCAGGCCAAAGTGAGCCGCAGGTGAATCCCTTTGCCAGCTCTGGAGCTTCCCCTGAGGCTCCCTCCCCAGGGGGCTTCTTGGGCTCCTTGCTTGTCTTCCTGCCCGTGTGCCGCTCACAGCTGCAGCCCCGGGCTGCCTTCCTCCCTCCCTTCCTTCCCCTTCACCACAGGCACCGTCGCATGACCTCAGCAGGCCGTGGAGCCTCCGTTATTGCCCCCGGCTGTAGCAAAACTCCGTGCTGCAGGGCACAGGCTGGGAAGCACAGGGATGTGCCACGGGAAAGCAGCCCTTTCTGTGTTCACTGCCAGCCAGACTCCCATGAGCCTGGAGCTTCTCCCAAGGACCAAAGGTAAGGAGAGATGCCAAGTCAAGCCCACACCACCCCTGTGTCCCTCCAGCCCCCATGCTCCATCCCCTGCTTGGCACAGCCTGGACTGAGAGGGAAAAAGAGAGGAGCCTGGGGGAAAAGCCAGCAGAGGTGCTGCTGGGAGGGGAGCGGGATGGCCATGGAGAAGGGGGTGCTGGAGCTCAGTGCTCCCAGCTGCTCCCACCATGGCACCAGGCTCCTGGGCAGGGGACGTCAGCATCCGTGCCACAACTCCCTGCTGTGGGTGGCCAAAGGGCTCGGCTGCCTTGTGCCCGTGCAAGGCACGGGCTCCCGCGAGCAGGACAGCTTGGCAGCCGTGCAGCTGCGCTCGCATTGGGACAGGAATGGGCTCCTCCGCAGTGTCTGCTCCTCACGCAGCAGGGACCCCATCAGAGCGGGTCTCTGAATTGTCACATGGCGGTGCTGGAGCCACCAAGGCCGTGTGCTTGGAGCCAGGCTGGCGAGGCTGAAGCAGCCCTTCCCTACTGCCACATCCAGCTCCGCTCCGGCACATCCCTCCTGAGCCATGACGCCACGTGCGTCAAAACACTCTGCTGCGTTTGTGATGGGAAGCAAAACCCAGGTGCATTTCTGTCTGGTTCTAGCAGATACAAGTTACCCAGGCTTGACTGCCCACCCCGGCTGTGCTGCAGAGCTGCGAGAAACTAAAAAACAGCGAGGCAGGAGCAAAGGCCTCGCCAAGACCATCCCAGCACTTGCAGCCTCCCAGCCTCACCCGGGGCGCCACCCTCCCTCACCCCCAGGCTAACGGCAGGATGCCGAGTTTGGGAGACCCCAGGCTGGTGGGGTCAGAGTCACAAGGCGGCCCCACTCCCGCTGCCTCAGGGGGTCGCGGCGAACCGCTCCGGCCAGCACTGCCTTTAAAAATGTCAGCAGGAACGGGGCCAGAGAAAATCCTGCAGGATTTGGGCTTATCATGACGTGCTGTCGCACAAACGAGCCCACATGCACGCGCTCCTGTGAAATTTTTACTTTCGTCTTGGAGAAGAAAAGAGGGAAAATAATCCCCTTTCTTGGCACTTTGCTACCCCGAAATCCCTGCGGTGTCCTGGGCAGGGGAGGGCAGCGCCGGTGCCTGGGACAAGCGCGAACTGCTGCCGTTCAATGGAGCTGGCGCCCCCGGGGAGCAATTGGCATTTCCAGATCCATCTCTGCCAGGAGCCGGGAAGGAGCATCCTGCAGCAGAGCTGAGGACATTCTGCTCTTACAGTTAGGCAGCTAAAAATACCCCGAGGCCCTCGGCAGCGCGGGCACCCCGCACACACTGAGCCTCGCCGGGGCAGCCACCCCGCGCCGGGACCGGCCCGCAGCGCCGAGCGGAGCGCGGAGCTGCACGAGGCTTCCAACACGCTGCCCTTGGCCCGGGCGCCCATCGGAGGTGACAGCCCCGGCCCCGCTCCCTGCGGCAGCTCCAGGGCTTTCTGCGGATTTACCCCCCAGCCCTGCTGCAAATCTGCTGAACACTTATCTGCTTCCTTAGGCAGCTAAGTACCAGAGAAAAGCTGGCCTAATAGTGATGGTCGTGCCTCAAAGTCACTTACGGTTAAGCTGGATTTGGATTCAGTGCATAGCTGAATTAGAGCTCCGCTTTAAACTTCAGACCAAATAACCGCCGAATTGGACAATAAATGAGTTTCCTTTGGAAATAGGAAAGGAGTGGGGGAGAGATGCTCTAACAGCTCTGGCCTAATTCCAAGTAATAGGCTGGTTGCTCAGCTATGGCCACACAGGGTGGGAACAGGAGCTGCTGGGCTTCAAGCCCTTGGAGTTAAGTCCTTCCAGGGCAAGGAGTAAAGCACTTCCCGGTCCTGAGGAAGGAAAACCTCCGCGTTGAAGCGGGAGAAGCCGAGGGCACCATCCCCATGGCACACAGCCGTGCTCGGCTCTCCCACCGCTGCCGCCGCTGCAGTCCCTTCTCTGGCAGCGCCAAGCGGGAATCACATTCCTGCTGGAAGGCTGCAGGGAAGGTGCCAGGCTGCTCCAGGCAGACACCAAACTGCACATTTCCAAACAGCACCGCGCGAGGATCTGGATAACGCATTTTTCTAATGCCATGAGGACGCAATCATTTCCTATTTTTCAGATCCCGTCTGATGAGCGGGAACGTTCTGTTACCGATGGGGCTCAGCACTGTCTTTGCAAGATCTGCTCTAAGTCAAGCACAGGGCAGCGAGAACCAAAATCTTGCTGCATGCTCCTAGACCTGCGCATGCACACGCTGTGCCAAGACTTGCCTGGGACTGCCTGCTCCGTGAGAGGCAGCAGCACTCCCAAGAGCTGTTTTCTTTCCCCCTTATCAATGTCCCACTCCAGCATCGTTCTTCGAAATTCCCAGATAATCTAGGCTGGGAATGTCACCTGCCAGCTCTTCCCTACCTCCACCACCAAACTGCCACTTTCTCCTTCAGAAGTTGGGCTGGCAGAAAATCTGAATTAAAAAAAAACAAAAGAAACTAGAAAAGAATTTTCTTATAATGGTCTGTGCACAGAAATAGCAGCGGGAATGCACAAGAAAACAGTCTGCTTGGATGCACAAACAGGGATTTGGGAGTCCCAGTATCCCTCCCATCCCCTTCCCCAGCAAACCCACCATGGCACACCAGGTTTGGTGGCTTGTTTTGGTCCCTGGGTCTATATATGTATATGCATAGGCATTTATATTTATATGGGCCTGCAAGGGCTGCACGAGGTAGAGCAGGGCCGGCTGCTGGCACCTCCGCTCCCGCGACAGGCGCCGTCCTCATGCAAGTCAATGAGGGCCCAGCCCCGCCGGGCTGAATTTCGTGAATTTGCGATACTATAGCAAGCAACAGCCTCCCTTTTTTTTTGGCCAAAGGCTGTATAGCATCTCCATGGCGACTCAAAAGCTTAATGTATTCCCGCTGATTTAAGTGATTAATTCTCTGGAGTGGCAAGGCCAGTGCTGGAGCAGGTGCAGCTCTGCCTTGCTGTAAAAACCTCCAAACCAATTTGTTTTCTCATGACCCAGCTGCCAAATTTCATGCCGTCCCCACCAGTGGCAGAACTGCTCAGGTGCTTGATTTTGGGGTTGCGGTTTTTTATTTATTCATTTTTTAATCCCTAATCTGGGCAGCACCTGATGACCGTGGAGCGCAGCAACGTAAGGCAGAGAGATGGTGGGGAGGAAATTAAAAGAGAAAGAAAAGAAAAAGGGGAAAATCCACCCTAGGAAATTTGCTGGGAGTGGCTCACTGTATGTCCTTGTGCTCTGCAGGAAAGAGCAGCCATGAGCACCGGCCTGTCCCCTCGTTACGTGTAGGCTAATGCTATATATAATGAATAACGCCGCTTGCAATTACGCTCTTTGCAGGCCTCTGATGAAAGTACTTTAGAAATATTATACATTCATCTCTAAGTAAAATAAAATCTACTGGAGTGATATTTTGCTCTTTTCTTCTCTGGGTAAATTCCACATCATTTATTACACTCTGTACATATTTCCCAAGTATATTCTTTCCTTGGAAAATTCATATTTAAAATGCCATGTAAATAAAGCAACCCCTGCAAATATTTGTGGAGGAGCTAAATGTGGCGCTGGGCGTTATTAAAGCATCAAAACTATTAGCGTTAGAGACAGCCTGCACTGTTCACAGCGCATGAATTTCAAGGTCTGGTTGGGATTCAAGGGCTGCTAAAAGAGCGAAGGTGCCAGGGCCAAGCCACAAGGCTCAAGTGTCCCCAGGAGGACATCCCTGCAGTGCCACATCCCCAGGCACCTTGGCGGCCTTCAGCTCATCCCCATGTCCAAACATCTCACCCGAAAATTGGGATATCACGATCGTAGGACACAGCCAAGAGGCTTCCCCCACCCTGCACATAAATAAAAATAAGCGAAACCTCATTATTTTGCTGTCAGAGCCAGGTTGCTGACACAGGGGGTCACCCAGACCCTGCAGGTCCCTCCGATCTCTGATACCCCCGAGCTGCATCTCTACCAGATTGCCGCAGTGTCCAGCACGTCGCATCTCATCTGTCCCAACCAGGCAGGAGAAAAATACCAAAAGTAATGGCATTTGAAAGAAAATTTCTTGGCGATGCTTTAGAATTTCCCTAAGCAGTTTGTTTTCATTTCAAGATATTTTTATGTCAGCTTCACTCAGCCTCTGCTCGGGGCTAGTCCTTGCTCTGCAGCAGCAGCCCCACAATTCGGTTTGGGGCTTCCTAAGCAAACTACTGCAAAGCTTTTGGTGCCATAGAGGGGATGTTTTTACTTTCCTCCCAGGAGGAAAAAAACTAATTTCTTCCAAAAGAAATTGTCTTTAAAAAAAGAGAGAGAGAGAGAAGAAAAAATAATTACAGAAATGGGCTTTTGGCTCCAAGTCTAATTTCCACACCAGCCCGCACCGAGCGCACTGCCCACGGCCCCACGATCAGCCTTACCATATCCTTCACGGCATGGTGAGATTTGACGAACACTGAGATGACCTGCAAGAAAAGAAAAAAAAAAAGAAACTTGGTGCATTTTCCTTTTTCTAGGAGTATGGGAGGAATTATTTTTTCCAAATTTTGTTTTTAAACTACATAATAAAGCCACACATACCTTGTCCCACTCAAAATGAATCGTGTCGCTGGCACACGGGACTCTGCCTTCCTCCCAGTTGGCAGCGGTTTCGAAGTTGGTGTTTGGCAGCCACTGTTTGTAGTCCGCGGCGGCGGCACCTGAGAGGAGCAAGGACACCCGCTGTCACCCTCGCGGTGCCTGCAACGAGGGGACAGACCCGGAGACAGCATCACATGCCATGTTCCTGGGCCTGGGCTTTTTTAGGCCAGATCGGGGGATTTTCTGCCTAGGAAGAGCCTCTGTGCAGTGCTTCAGCTCAGCTGCATCCCATTCCTCATCTCCTCCTGGGATCTCCTGGTGCAAGAGATTTTTCTTGGATTAAGGGATATTTTTGAACACTCCTCCCCAGGTGGAAAGAATAATAAAAGGACAAAAATTTCATGGATAAGGATAAGGCAGCAAAGGCCTACAGGCAAGAATAACGTGCAGGCACGTATCTAAGCTTTAAGTTCAGTGCCTCAATACACTAGTCCCCAGTGAAGGATGCAGAGGAGTCCTTCATCCTTGGTGTCTCTAACTGGGTTGAAGGGAGCAAGGAGAGCCAGGGGCCATGGGGATGGCATGAGAGGAGAAGGGAGCCCTCCCAGAGCACCCGAGGTGGGTGCTGCATGTGCTGCTTTCATGCACTTGGGTTCGCAGGTGGGAATGCAGCAGTCTCCCACCGCGTGATCTGCTCTTGCTCACACTAGTTCCCTCTCTAAGTGCCTCTGTTTGCACAAGAGCTTCTGAAAGCTGCGTCTCCAAGCCTGACATTTCCCAGGCTTGGCTTCCACCTGAAGATGAATCTCTAGCGGCCTGTATTAAACGGCTTCGGGCAAGTGAGTTATGAGAGCGAAAAGAGGAAAAAGAATTCTTTTCTGTTAATATGGTACATCTTTTTCTCATGGGAAAAGAAAAGAAAAAAAAAAAAGGAAACACAGCAAAATACAAAGTGGCTCTGGAGAGGATGAGCTAGCAGAGGGGGAGGTGGTGCTCCAGTGGGAGAGCTGAGGTGGACATGGGGACAGAGGGGCCACGGGGACATCCCACTTCGTCCACTGCCCTTCCCTATCCTTCTCCAGGGAGGTCCTTTCCTCTCTGATTGGGCTGCCATGACTAACCCTGGCTTTCACTGTGAGGACAGCAAGCGGCAGGAGAGGAGGAAAGGCAGACGTGAGGGGGTCCAGAGGGCCATGGGAGATGGAAGAAGGTGCAAAGAGAAAGTCAGACCTGCTCGCGTAAGTGCTGGGGAGGAGATCTGGCTCGTGTGCACTAAGTAGGCTCTGTGGAGGCTTTGTCAGCATGCAATGATCTCCTCCAGAGCCTAATCTCACATTTGCGCAGTCTGACTCTGCCAGGGCACTGCTGAGACAACTTGTTGTATATAGCCATGTCCAGACTAAGGGGAAATGATGTATTTTTAACCTGAGCCCTAAGGCATGAGCAGGCACTGGAGCCAGCATGTGTAGGCTGGAGCAGAGAGGAGAAGCTGGCGGGGAAAAGAAAGAGGGGCTTCCTCAGCCCCATGTCAGGCTGGAAACTTGCCTGCTGAGAGCAAGGCTTGGGCAAAGGTGGGAGTGTCCCCCCAGATTGTCTGAAAACCCTTCTGCTAATGGCAGCTAAAAATTCAAGGCTTTCTCCAGTTGTCTCTCACTGTTCTTTGACATACAGTTTTTACACTGTAAGACAATGCATGATCCACCTGGGCAACTGGCTCTGCACTGCCCAGCCTCTTCAACCCCCTTCTGTACTGGGGTTCATCCACCCTTGGCCAGACTCGGACCATCCCCAGAAAAAGGCCTGAGCCAGTGGGATCCTTCATCTCAGCCTGACACAGAGTCACAGAATGGCTGAGGTTGGAAGGGACCTCTAGAGATCATCTAGTCCAACCCCTCTGCTCAAGCAGGGACACCTAGCGCACAGGTGGCATCCAGGTGGGCTTGGAAGATCTCCAGAGAAGGAGACTCCATAACCTCTCTGGGCAGCCTGTGCCATGGCTCTGTCCCCCTCACAGTAAAGTTTTTCCTCACAAGGAGATGGAACTGCCTGTGTTTCAGTTTGTACCCGTTACCCCTTGTCCTATCACTGGCCACCACCAAGAAGTTTGGTCCCATCCTCTTTCCATTCTCCCCTCAGGTACTTACACGTATTGATCAGATCCCCTCTCAATCCTCTCTTCTCCAGACTGAATGGGCCCAGCTCGCTTAGTCTTTCCTCACAAGATAGATGCTCCAGTTCCTTAATTACCTTCGTTGCTCTACGCTCTCTAGACCCTCTCTAGAAGTTCCATGTCCCTCTTCACAACCTCCCTGAACTCAACAGATCTGAGTGCAATTTCTACTTTCCTTCTAGCTGAGCCCTTAAGTGGAGCACCCCCTCCTTGATACTCCTTGACAGAGAAGAGGACCCCAACAGCTATGAGGATCAGACCCGTGAAGCTGCTTTCAGAGCTGTGGCCGCAGAAAAAGTGTAACTTTAGAATCAAAAAAAAAAAAACTTAAAGCCTTTGAATATTAATTCCAGGTCGCTCTGCCCATGCTATGGTTGACTGTGTCCTTCCAGCTGCGGGGAGCTGGGAAGGCAGAGGTTAACGCTCCAGCAGAAATACTTGCTGTTCCCATTGTGCACACGCATCACGTCCCCTCATGGCTTGCGGCGCCCGTGTGGGCACAGACGGACACAGCACGAAGGTGCTGCCAGCGGCTCCGCTCCGCTCGGCCGCTG